TATACACACACACACACACACATATATAAAATTGTGATTTGGGTGAAAGTTTAGAGAACAAATTCACTTTCCATACAGCAGTTCACATACACTTTGTCTCATGATATCGACTACAGTTTACCACAATGCAACAGCTTCCCTCCCACTTCTTCCCACTAGTTACCTCTACCCTGTGTCCATCCCTCCATGCACTCCTGCCCCCTGAGCTGTCTCCCTGTGCATAAACAGCCCTTCTATTTTCCCATGATTGTTCTCTCCAAGGAGTGTATCTACCTCAGGTAAATGTTCAACTCATATGCCTGAAAGCCACAGGTGTGGGTTCAATTCCAGATCTGAAGGGCATCTAGGGGCCATACATCTAGGGGAGTCTTTCCACCAGGCTCCATCAGACCAGCAAACCTGGTCTTTTTATTTTTTTTTTCAAACGATTTTGAGTTTTTTTCCACATTGTTCTCCCTCTCTATCCAGTATCTCCTACATAGATCCCCCTCCAAATGGTTGACAGTGGTAGGCGGGCACCATCTAGTTCTTCTGGTCTCATAGTTATATAGTTATATAGACTAAGGATCGCATGGAATGCCAGTCAATTGGATTAATTGTTTCTATGCATCTTTGGTTTTCTTCATTCTTCTTTGCTCTAGATGAGGAGAGACCCATTGTTGCATCTAGATGGCTGCTTGCAAGCTTTTAAGATCCCAGTCGCTACTCACCAAAGTAGGAGGTAGAACAATGTTTTGTGTGGTATGTTATGCCAATTGAGCTTGATGTCCCCTGTGACTATGGTCCCAAGCCCACAGGTTCAACTACTCACTCCCTCTGGGAATCTGGCTGTGCCCAAGAAGTGACTATAATCTTGTCCCTTATCAGGTCTACTATATACCCAGGAATTCTTACAGAACATAAAATACACTTGTAGAACCATTGTCTGTCAACCCTATACAAAGTCTTGGGCTCACTCTCACCTGCACAGACATACCTAATAGTTTAGCCTGTCCACCCATCTATCCACCCATATACCCATGTTTGCCTTCATTGACAACGCAGTACTATACATGCAAAAGGGTTCATCTTTGTTGTCTGCACCTCCCATGTACCTCTCTATATCTTCCTCTTTCGCAATGCCACCGTGTTGATCACTCACATTTGGTAAATTGCCCTTCTCTTCATCAAATGGTAAGTATTTTAGGCTTTGTGGCTATCTGGTCTCTGTTGCATCTACTCAGTTCTGCCTTTGTAGCCCAAAAGCAGCCATAAACAAATAACAGAAAGCCCAGTTGCCATTAAGTCAACTCCAACTCATGATGGCCTCATGTGTGTCAGAGAAATACTATTCCCCATAGAGATTTCAATGGTTAATTTTTCAGAACTAGATTGCCTTTCTTCAAAGGTACCTTGGGATGGACTTGAACCACCAACTTTTTGGTTAGCAATCAAGTGCATTAACCTTCTGCACCATCCAGGGACTCTATAAGCAACACGAATGGGTGTGGCTGGATTTGGCCCACAAGTTGTAGTTTGCTGACCCCCTCATAAAGCACCTGCTCTTGCCATACTGCCTTTCAGAGAGCCACACTGGCCTTCCCTCTTTTTATTGCCATCTCTACACCAGTACAGATTTCCTTCCCTGGTTGCCAGCAGGACTCTTGCCCTCTGAAGCAGTTGTCTGCCTTAGACCATGTTTGATTTCTTTGGAGAGATGACCAGTCACTGGATAATATTCTGCCCTGTGAGACTGGGTGCTGCCCACACTTTGTCTTCTAAAGGCCTATCACCTGAGTCTTGGAGTATCCACCTCTGCATATGTAAAAGGGTATGAGAAAAAACATGAAAGAGTGGGACAAAGAGGTTCCTTTGTTGAGTGAGGCACAGTGCTTCACTTTGTACAAAGAGGATCTCAGTACTTTAATCAAGGATGTAGTAAGGATGCTGCCTACCTCCATTTTACACCCTAGGAAAGGGAGGCTCAGAGGACGTAACTTAGAAGACTTGGGTTTTAGTGACAGTTCCATCACCAACTATCTGTGATCCTTTGAGTAAGCCACTTCTCCAAGCTGGATCTATTTTTCATTTATGCAATGATGGGGGTCACATGAGGTCACCATGAGTTGAAAACTGACTTGATGGTACCTAATAACAACTTGACTGCTAACCAGAAGGCTGGTGGTTCAAACTCACCAGCCACTCCTCGGAAGGAAGATGGGGCAATCTACTTCCGTAGTGATACTGCCTCGGAAACCCAAGGAGGAGTCGCTATGAGTCGGGTCTGACTCGACGGCACATAACAACAACAACAAAAACCACATGCAATGATGGAGCACAGTCCACATGACCTCCAGGATACCCTCCAAGCACCAACAGTCTGAGTCAATCAGTTTCTGCAGAAGTTGAAAACATTAATGCTATTTGCCATGGTTCTTGCCTTTCATCACAGTTCTTTTTCTGCTTGAATTTAGAGCTCCTTGTGATGTGTACTCTAGTTTTTAGCATAAACTTCCACTTAACCTATGATGAATCTTTTCAATTCAATATTTATCTCTTGGTGGAAAGACAGAAGTTCTTACCACAAATTCCTTATTATTGCATCTCTAGACTAGACACTCAGAAGGAAGTTTGGGCATTCCTACTTCCGTAGTGATACTGCCTCAGAAACCCAAGGAGGGGTCGCTATGAGTTGGGGCCGACTCGATGGCAAATAACAACAACAACAACAACAACAACAAGACTAGACACTGTCAAAATTTTTCTGTCCTTGACTAACTTCAGTTGTTCCCTGTACTAGTTTTCTAGGACTAGTCATAAAGTGCATGGCTTTTAAAAACAGAAATTTATTGCCTCATAGTTCTGGAGCTGAAAATTTGAATTCAGGGTAATCTTAGGGCCATGCTCTCTCTGAAATCTTTAGGGGAGATCTTTCTTTCTTTTTTTAAATTATGATTTGGGTGAAAGTGTACAGAGTAAACTGGTTTTCCATTCAACAATTCACATACATTTTGTTTTGTGACATTGATTGCAATCCCTACAACGTAACAGCACTCTTTCCACTTTCTCCTTGTGTTTACCATTTCCCTTCACCCTTTTTTCCTATCCCTTCCTACCTTCTGAGCTTTATACCTGGGCAAATGCTGCCCTTTTGATCTCATATGGTTGACTGTTCTAATGAATGCATACCTCCCTGGTGTTGTTGTTCACCTCATAGGCCTATCATTTGGCTGGAAGTTGAGTCATGTGGATGAGTTCTGTTCCAGGCTTGAATGCAACACCTGTAGTCTTGGAGGTTCCACCAGTTTCTATCAGACCAGTAAGCTTGGTCTCTTTTTTTCACTCCCCAATGGCAGCAAAGGCCAGTGCAGTTTCTGAGGTGACACCAACTAATTATTTACCAACTAATCAGCATAGTAATGGGTGTGACTTTGTAATTAAACACACCAACTAAATTAATAACTCATGCCAGACATAGAGGTATGTCAGACAAAGACATTTACATACTGCTGATAGTTGAAACGATTTCATTTATTCACAGTGTTTATAGGTAAAAGGTGTGTGTTTGGAGGGGGATGCCTAAGCTTTCTAGATACCCAAGTGCCTCCTTCCTTTTGAAAAACTTTCCTACTACAGTCCAAAAAAGGGAACCCCAAAACATCCCAGAGAGTCAACCTTAAGCCATTTTTTTTAAAGGAGTTAGCCTTTGAATTAGACAAAGTTAGAGATTCCTAATTCCTTGTGTAATTTCAGTAAATCATGTAGGATTTGGATAGGTTGTTGTGTGGCATAAAGTAGATTCTGAATCATAGCGACCCTCTATGACAGAGTAGAATTGCCCTGTAAGGTTTCCTAGGCTACAATCTTTACAGAAGCAGACTGCCACATCTTTCTCCTATGGAGCAGTTGGTCGGTTTTAACGGTTCACCCCTCAGTTAGCAGGTGAGCTTTGACCACTGTACCGACAGGGCTCCGTATATTTGATATAAAAAAGTATATTTCAAGGAACCTTCTCTACCTACCCATCTGTCTGTCAGGCCTGAGTGATCTGAATCTTTCCTGCACCATTGCTGATGGAGGTCATGGTCAGAGAGGGCCAGAGTCAGTGTGAACAGGACTTTTGTAGGCGGCTCTCTAGACAAGTGCCATTGTTTCATAATCCTGTCA